CAGACCTTACGACGACAGGCTGAATGCTATGGGGCTCTTTAGCCTGGAAAAGCGCAGGCTCATAGGTGGCCATCAGATCACCCCTAAGTTTATCAGGGGTGACCACCAGCATCTGGGGGAACATGTGTTCACCAGAACGCCCCAAGGGATGATGAGGTCGAATGGTTTTAAACTCCTGCAAGACCGTTTCAGGCTGGACATAAGGAAGAATTTCTTTACTGTCCGAGCCCCCAAGGTCTGGAACAGCCTGTCTTCAGAGGTGGTTCAAGCATCTACACTGAACACCTTCAAGAGTAAATTGGATGCTTATCTTGCTGGGATCCTATTACCCCAGATGACTTCCTGCCCTTTGGGCGGGGGGCTGGACTCGATGATTTTCCGAGATCCCTTCCAGCCCTAATGTCTGTGAAATGCTAAAAAATGTGTTGAGGGGAATAAAAATACACACAATGTCCCAATTCTGTGGCCTCAAAGCTTTTACCTGCATGAATTTGGGATGACAGCGAGATGTACAAATGTTGAAGCGATAAAGAGAAACTCCCAGTGTGTAATTTTGCACAGATAATTGAGCAATAATCCTAAGTAATTTTTCAACATGTGTTCTAGTTATCTTAAGCAGTGTCTTCTCTTGCTCAAAGCGAAGCAAACCAAGCTTACCCAGAAGGTCTGAAGAACGGTCACTCATGTTATGAATGGCTTTTGCCAAGTACAGAACCAGAGACTCTAAGTTTTCTGCTGCATGCATTATGGGGCATTCTGGCAGGAGAAGGAAAATAGATATAGCCTCTTGGTGAACAGAGTGCAGTGGAAGACTGGGAATCAGATGTTCCCTCAGACAGCAACTTATCTGCATGAAATTAAGAGAGAGAGAGAAAGCAATTAGACTATGATTTGCAGTGTAATATAAAGACAAGACCTTTTAATTTGGCATATTGCTGGTCTTGGAATTTTACAGAAAGGTCTGATATGCAGAGTTCAGATGTGGTTAAAACTGACCAGAAAGACATTAATAATGGAATATAAAGGGAAAAAGCAGAGCATGTGTTTGTTACAGCTGTTATGCACAAGTTCTTGTAAGGATCCATTAAAATTGAACCCTACAAGTATTACTTTGTAATATGTTTATTTACACTTATTATTACACTACTTGACCAATCTATCCAAAGTATCTGGAATGTGTTTGGGCAGCTACTCTGTTTCTTGTTTATCTCCCAATTCTAAAACCACAAAATTAGCTATTTTGTATTCAAATGCTTTCGAAATTACATCAGACTCTGGGATTGGAGTACTTGTTAATTGCCTCATTTTCATATTTAAAAAGTTATTCATACACAGGACATGAACTTTCAGGGCTTAATGAACCCATCATAATGAAACTAGTAGCCTATCAGGAATATAGGACAAATACATTGCATCATGATACAGGAAAGAGAGCTGGTGTTGATCTCCCTTGACTGATAGCTCTACAGATTCTTTGTGTTTCCTTCAAAAGACATGTGTCTGTACAAGGGTGTGCTCATGCACACACACAACCACTTGAAATACTCACTCACATCATGAAGCAAAATTAAGAAGTGGGGCCATATTAAAATGTAGTTATAGGCTGGCTGTACTTTGTATACAAATTTGCCAACTATTTTACCGTATTAGCAATCCAGTCCATTTTGGTTAGTTCATCAAACACATCCCTTGCCTTCTGTAGATCAACATCAAAAGGACTTGCTCCCTGAGCAGATCTAGCACGATTAAGGGGAAAAAAAACATGCATCATTCTATGCAATAAGCATGGATGGAGCTTTTGTTTTGGTTTTAATGTGAATATGCCCTTTTGCATCTGCAACTCAGACCAGGGCAGTACAAACTCTCCTACAATGCCCCACTTGTGTGCCTTAATCAAGGACAACCTAAAGAAACAAGAAGGCAGTTGAGTTTCTAAATGCATTCAACACTTAGCTTCTTTGCTGAGACTGGTTAAAGAGGGTCAGTTCTAACTTGTGACTTGGACCAGTGTCCAATGGGAAATGAACTACGGCTCATGCCATGAGTCTTCAGATGGCAGCTTCCAGTTACTGTTTATTACACAGACTGGATACGAGCTAGTGATTCCTTAGGCTCAATGATCCAATAACAACTCCAGGAAAAATCAGAGTACACCTGCTTTTATCAACAAACTTCAAATTGTTGCGGGTCTGTGAAAACAATTATTAGATGTCAAAAGATTTATGTTTGTCTCAGAGCCCTAGGTTTGCTATGTTACATGAAAGAGCAAGAGAACAGAATTGTAGTGTTGTCATAGGCTCCTAGCTGGTATAAGATTACAAATTTTATATCAGCTGTCATTTTGCACTTCTTACAATGGTGTTTAAAAATTAAGCCGTTAGCAAACTCAAGTGAATTCTGTGAACTAAAACCTGCACTGCCTAGAGGGCACAAGTGGGAATGGGCACGAGGAGCATTTTGTGATAGACACCTAGCATTCGCATACAGTAGGCAGCCAGTCACTCAGGATTCTAACCTGGCACTTAACAGTCCTGAGAAGGCCATGAGATGCCCAGTAATCTGACCAGTCACTGGCACATGGTCTGCCTGCTTGGGTCCCCTGCTACCTACTATGTATGATATTGTATGTGGCATGGGGTGGAGATGGTGCAATTTGCTGCATGTTGTTTTTCTTAAAGGACATCACACCACCCTGTAGATCCTCCTCATCTTAGCCTATGACAGCACTACAACTCTAGGAGCTCAAAAACGCTGCACATTCATCTTCCCCACAACCCTACTATGTACAACTCCCACAACTGCAAAGGAGGGCAAGGTTTTGCCTTAAGAATTCAATTGATCTATAACTTTAACTTCTTGTTTAGTTTTGCCTAAGTGTTTTTCATAGCCTTGTATTGCACCTAAAAATATTACTTACCTTGGTTTTAAAAAACTTCCACTTAAACAGGCAGGAGAAGAAAATATTTCTTCTACTTCCCTACAAAAAAAGGAATAATAATAAAGCAAGTAGGACTGAAACACTTATTTTGTGTAATCTGCCATTACACCCAGACATTTTCAAATTTCATTCTCAAGTAACTACAGATTTTAGGGAACATCTTCACGTTGCCACACTTTAGTATTTCCTTTTGGATGTACTAAAGCACAGCACAATACAGGCTGTTACTGCACCATGTGGGTGGTGCATGCTTATATTTCCAGCTATGTTGCCACAGTGGCACGCTATATTCAGGGAGTGCACCACTACGGCAATGTAGCTTGTGATCACATAGAGACCCACGTGATCGCTACGTCACTGTAGGGTGACGTGTATATGCGCCCTTAAAGTAGTTAGGCTACTACTTAAGCTCTGTCATTTAAGCATATTTGTTTCTGTCTCCTTTGAATGATGAATTTTCTACTCCCAAAAGATGCTCCAAATTGGGCCCCATCATAAAACAGAAGATACTATTTTCTTCATGGTTTTTACTATCTTTATCTCCCTTTCAGGTCATGATCTAAAGCCCTGTACAGCAACTAGGCTTTGCATCACAACCCTACAGAGCAACCTGACACATTCTAAAATTATTGGGAGTTTTTCCAATTATTATAAATGGGAACTCCCATTCTCATTTAGCAGCAAATCGGTCTAAGCTAAAAGAGAGGATGGTTAAAGTTAGAGCAACAGATCTGATCCAACCAGGGCTTGCATTGCAATAGGCTCACACAGGGAAAACTGGTTTCTAAAGTATTTCAACTTGGGCTCC